TTTATTATTTATTTATTTTTTTTTTAAATAAAAACTTTGATTTCATTTTTAAATCAATTAATGTTTATCGTCAAATAAACATTGCACATGACTCGCGAGATATTAGATATATAATCGCAATCTATAAAATTCAAATATATCTTAATTTTAATTCTAAAGTATAAGGCCTAAGAATTAAGGCTCCAGCCTACAAAACGTCGCCGTCTTTCTAGTTTTTAAAATAATATTACACAATTCGGTATTAAATGGCAGATTATGTAACAGTTATTTTTAAGTACCTTGATTAAGAGAATATAACTTCACAAATATATATGCACATTCAACTTTATATAATATACATAAAGATGAAACTTATCACTGCGCAGTGTTAATAATATATTACTAATTGTGCAATTTGTACTTTCGAGTTAAAATGCAAAAAAATACAAATTATTATTTAATAAAATCATAGATGACCATAAATATATGATAATAATACAAGTAATATTCATCTTAAATGTAAAAGAACATAAGTCATAACTAAATTACATGAACTTTATGTTTGTTATTGTACAATCTTCCGAAAATCACCAAAAACAACCTGACCACCGAATACAGTTGTTAATACAGCTGTGTTAATTATTTCTTGTTCTGGGATGTTCATTATATCACGATCGATTACTACAAAATCCGCATATTTGCCGACGGTTATCGACCCCAACTTTGAAAGAAAAAAAGATAGATATCGAAAAAAATTAGATCATTGAAAAACAGAATGTAGAGATAATGTTCGGTCAAATTTCATGATCGATTCATATAATCGATCACACATTTGCTGTTCGATAGTTTGATTGATCATATAATGGTTAAAATTTTATCGAAATTGATAAATATTTTATACTACCGTATAACCGTGAAATAATGCGCAGGGGTGTAATTTCAAATTTCGGCCTAAATTAAGCTTAATTTGGGTCAAAATTCAAAATAACACCCCTGTGCGTCATTTCGCAGTTATGCGTAAGCAAATCGACGTTCATGTACTAACTGACATTAAATGTTTTTGCTATTAAAATGTATAAATAAAAGTTAATAAGAAAATGTGGACAAATTTACGAATAATTATTTTAATATGCAAATGTTGATATATTTAGTAAAAACTTCGATTCAAGCATGTTATGATAACAATAAAATATAAAAATAATATAAAATTTACATTACATCATCATAATCAAGAATGAGTCCATAACCATAACCATAACATGCAAAAATCACGATTTTTTCACTAAATAAATCGATTTTAATGCGTAATTGAGTAAAAATATTTTGTAGTGCAAAATTCTATCTGCTTTAAAATCTTTATAAATTTTAAGATATAGAATTTTGGACTATAGAACAACTTTAATTAGTGCATGAATTTCGATTTGCTTAATAAAAATCTAAAAAAATTTCATTGATCTATAAAAAGTTCATCATGATCAATAAGATCGAACAAAAAAATTAATGTGGTTTGGAAATCGATAATCTATTATATTTAAAAAAAAAAATAAAATTTAGTAAATACTAAAATAAAATATTAAACTAGTCAGGTACTATATT